TCTGCCACATGAACTGATGCTGGACAGTCCTAATTAATGACATGCGGCTCCCGAGGCTTTCTAGGGGGACACTGCTTCCAGAAGAAGCAAGCCCGTGATGGTGATGTAAGAGTTCCTACTTCCATGTTTCAGAGAGTGGAAAGTGAGCACAGCTGATGTTCTCATCTGTAATTCTAGCATTTAGGAGGCCAGCAGAATTGCTGTGAATTTGAGGCCATCCTGGGATACAGAGTGAGTTTTAGGTCAGCCTGGCCTCAAAGTGAGATTTTTTTTCTCAACAACAACAAAAACAAAACAGTAACAACAACAAAACACCTACTTACCCACCTACTTATACACCCATCTCCCCAATCTAATGAAACAAAGAAAAAGAAAAGGCAACCCTCCCAAAGAACACGAAGGTTGATGGGTCTTAGAAAGGACTTTTGTTTTTAACTTGGGAAAAATGGAAAGTCATGGGAGGGTTTTAAGAAGAGGTCTGGATTAACATGGTTTATGACTCGAAAAAATATTATCACCTCTGTATTAAGACTTTGGTGGAACGGGGCTGGAGAGATGGCTCAGAGGTTAAGAACACTGGTTGTTACACAAGACCCAGGTTTGAATCCCAGCACCCACATGGCAGCTAACAACTGTTCATAACTCCAGTCCCAGGGGATCTGACAGCCTCTTCTGTCCTCTGCGGGCATTGCACGACACAGGTGCACTTACCTACATGCAGGCAATACATGCATACACATAAAATAAAAATAATAAAATTTTAAGTTAAAAAAGACTTTGGTGGAAGGAAAACCTACTAAATATTGAATAAAAACGCACATTTAATATAGAAATAAAATTATATATAAATACATATGTATGTATTATACAGATGTATATAAAGAGATACAGAATCTTCTTGTAAGGCACACATGCACATGCATGTAGAGGGTAGAGGACAGCTTTGAGTGTGTTTCCGTAAGTACCATCCACCTTTTTTAAAAAAAAAATTCATTGAGTTTTTGTACATTTCATACAACAGTTCTTAATCAAATTTACTCCCGTCCCCATCCATGCCCCTCCTACCCTTTCCCCCCACTAGACAGTCCTATCCAGTCAAGCATCTGTACCTAGATGTCTTTCAGAGCAAATTCTTCCACTGGCGTCTAATGAGACTATCTAGAGATCGTTGGTCAGGCCTACTCTCTCAGCCAGTAGCAATCAGTCTCTAATTGTTCCCAGACTAGGGCTGACCCGCCATCCATTTCTCTTGCTCCACTCTGGGCCCTTGTCTTACTGAGTTGGCATGGGCCCTGTGTTCGATGTTACCATTGCCACAAGTTCACATGAGCAAGCCTCCAGTGGCCTGAAAGCCTCTGTTTCCCTATGTTCATGGACCAACCCTGGCTCTTACAATCTTTCTGTCCCTCTTCCGAAATGGTCCCTGAGCTGTGGGTGGGAGAGGTTTGATGTAGGAATCTGATCCAGGGACGCACACCCTGCAGTCTCTTATTCTTTAGGGTTAACCTATTGTGGTCTTTTGTGTATACCACACCCTGTTTTATAAGGAGGAGGCTTCACTGCTGAGAACTGAGGGACACACTCCTTTTCTCTCTCCCCCATTCAGCTATGTTCCATGATTCTTAGGTGTAGAGGCTCCACTATAGATACGTCACATAGGACTGGGCATCTCTCAGATACATATTCTCTGTGCCTAACCAGTTGTGGGGCTCTGCAGTAGACTCCATATGCTGAAAAAAGAAGCTTCTTTGATGAGTGGTGTACAGTATATTGTCTGCAAATATAAGTCTCCATATTTAGCATACAGTAAGAAATTTCATTTGCCTAGAGATATGACAGAGATGGGGTTTGTTCTAGGATCTATGTTCTTCCCAGCAATGTGTATTTGGCTGTATTTACAGTGCCACCTGAGTTCACTCCCATTGAGAGGGCTTTAAGTGCTATTAGATAGCTGTTGATTACCACCCAGATACCAGTGCCACTACTGCACCAGTAAAGATAGTTTGCTCTGCTGGTGGGACTGGGTTGGACCATTGATTGATTTTCTCCCTTAGCAGCCTGAATAGTATCCTCCAGGACCATGGGAGTTCATGGTAGAAGGCTTCCAGGTCAGTTCCTGCTCCATTGTTCCTAGTCCTGTGTCTGAAATATGTCCTGTCTTCAGCAGTAGGGTCTTGTCTTCTAGTTCCGGGAGATAATCAAGAGATCTGGCAATAGCCTGTGTTATTTTGGGAGTCTCTTGGATCACTCTGACCAACCACTCTAAAGGAGGTCTGAGCTTGTGTTCCTTGCCGTACAGACCTCATGCATACATATGGACTAATGTTCAGGTACCATATATGCATTTCTCAGAGGGTTTTAGAGGCAGCACATTTCCCTCTGGCTTCCCTAAATCCCCAAGACTCAGTCATCTATACTTTCTCTCCCCACCCCATCTTCCCTCCCTCCTCCCTCCCCAGTCCAAGCCTCCCCATTACCCCCTCCTTCTCTCCAATAATATCCACCACTTCTCCCCTTCTGAGTCTCCTTCTCACCCCACTGTGGGCCCCTGTGTATTCCCCCCTCCTCCCCTCCCAGCTGTACATGCCCACCTTCCCCATGTCCCCCATGATGACACCTGCTCCCTACTATCCTCCTCTTTTGGTTGTTTCTTTTCCTTTACCTCCATCTTTTCTTTCCATTTTCCTGGCTCCTGGTGTTGCATCAGGATATATACTCACATATAAGGGATTGGTACTACAATCCACAGATGAGGGAGAACGTCCATTTCTTCCTTTTCTGTGTTTGTGTTACTTCACTTGGTACAACGCTCTCTAGTTCCATCCATTTACCTGAAATTTTCATAATTTCATCTTTTCTTGCTGCTGAGTAGAACTCCCTTGTATAAATGTACCATATTTTCATTATCAGTTTGTCAGTTGAGGGACATTTAGGTTGTTTCTATTTCTTAGCTATCATGAAGAAAGCAGCAACAAACATGAATGTACAGTCATCTCTACAGTAGTATGGGTCCTTTGGGTATATACCAGGGAGTGGTATCACTGGATCACATGGTAGATTCATTTTCAGTTTGTTGAGAGTCCTCCACACTGCTTTCCACAGTGGTTGCACCAGTTTGCATTCCCATAAGCAGTGACTGCCCATCTTTTTTGGAGGCAAGATTTCTCATTGGCCTGGAACTTACCATTAGGCTGGCTGACCAGTGACTCCCAGGCATCTATCTATCTGCCTCCCAGTGCTCTGGAACTGCAAAAGTGTACCACCATGCCAGACATTTTTATGTGATTCCTGGAAAGTGAACTCAGGTCCTGGAGTTGTTTACTGACTAAGCTCTCACAGCCCACAATATTCTTATTGCCTAAGACAAAACTGCATCTTTCTCATTGGCAATTTAGAAAAGTAGGTCAGAGAAGCTTTCTAGATCTAAAACATTTGTAGATTTTTAGAGACTGTTTTGTGAGGTTTTGCTTGATGCAGCTGTCACATCACCTTCTGAGTCAAAACTTGACACAGAGAATACCACCAGACCCTCTGTTGACGTTCCCATCAAGGTGATGGTCACTAGGTCTTTGGTACCCAATATTGAAAGGTGGCTGAAGGAACTGTCCATGCTCTTTAGCTGGCCTTACATATGGCTCCAGAACATTCTATATTTCCTGGACTTGGAAACCCTATATCCCATCCCCACTGACCATGCCTACCATGTAGCCTGTGGTCTCTCAGAAACTGTGCTATTCCTGAGCATCAGGCAGTACTGTGCCTGTTCCCATGCCCAGTGTGGAGCTGCCTTCTGTGTTGCTCAGCTGCCTTGGAGGTAGGGAGAGAGCAAACCTTTTCCAGAATTGCTACAACATCTAATATCCATCTACAGTTCTTGGGCTGTAATATGAGGATAGATTTTCTTTAGCAACTTCTAGAGAAATGTTTCAATATTTCAACAATTGGTAGACCAACATCTATGTACACCCTGTGAGAAGCCTCTATTGGACCAGGAAAGAAATATTAGAGAAAACCATTTATATTCTGGAAATATTTGGAATGCAGAGCCAAGATATTTGTAATGGATGGTCTAAAGGTACCAGTTATGGCCTGGGTGTTGGCTGGAGACTGGAAGAGTAGAGAGAGGAATGAATTTTTTTTTAGCAGAACTAAAACATTATAGGCTTTGTTGTTTGTTTGTTTGAGACAGTCTCATGTATTGCAGGCTGACTGGCTTCAAACTATGCAGGCAAGGATGACTTGAACTTCTGATCCTTGAACATCTGCCCTTACCTCTCGGGTACTGGGATTACAAGTGTATCAGCATGCTTGGTTTATCTTGTGAGGTGCTGAATACCAAGCCCAAGACTTTGTGTATGCTAGGCAAACACTCTATCAACTGAGTCACATCCCCGCCCCCAAAGCATCGATTTTCAAACACAATAGTAAGTTTTAAACGTTTCATTAAATAGTCAGCTAGAGCTTCAAGTACTTGTTTGATTTATGAGTCTGAAGTTCCAAGTCAGACAGAGATAGGGTTTGTTCTAGGATCTGTGTATTTGGCTGAGTTTACAAGGCCACCTGTGAGTTCACTCCCACTGAGAGGGCTTTAAGTGCAGTTAGATAGCCGTTAATTACCACCCAGATACCAGTGCCACTACTGCACCAGCAGACGTAGTTTGCTGTGCTGGTCCTTATGATTATTTGTTTATCTCCTTTTAGCAAAGGGAGTTAATGCTAAATCACTACAGGACAGACATGACTATAGATTTGCTGATACGGAATGTGGTTTTAAGGTAAGAGGTAGGAGCTTAAAAGGAAAAGAACTGAGAAGAGTTCCGGGATGTCTCAAACCCAGAAAGAAACACCAAAAGGACATTTTGAAACCTAAAATGAAATAAATCCCAAACAAAAAATTGTTAGTTCTCTCTGAGAATGTGTGACTCCAGGCCTCTAAGAATTTCTTTCCTTGGGTTTTAATTTAAGATGATTATATGAGAGGAATCACAAAACTGCAAGAGTATAAAGAAACTCTTTTAATAAAATACCCAATACAGCATTTCTCAGGATAAGGCTCTCAAGAAGTGTAAAGCTGTGAAAGCGATTCTTGCTGTTGGGAAACGACTTTTATGTGAGTTAGGAATCAGCTTTTCGGCAAAGACTCCTTGCCCAGTTCTGCCCAACAGGCTGTCAGAAGAAGGATCTGGAAAGCTCCAGAAGTTGATATGAAGGATTAAGTGACTGAATGAAATCTGCTTAGAACCTGGTAGTCTTAAGAGGTTTGTCTTAGGATTCTTACCAGGTACAGCATTGTGGGAAGAACATAAGGTTGGTATATAAAAGGGCTTTCATGTGAGTCGGGATATTTTTTCCCTTCCTGCTCTATTTGTAGTTCCAGCGTGAGTAACAGAACACTCTGTGGTTTGACCAATTACATATTTCAAATAGACTTTCCTCAGCCAGATTTGGGATTCAAGGTCCATTCCTAAACTGTGTTTCAAAATGAGAGCAACGGTGGCCTCCCACTTCCTATGTCCATAAATTCGCATATCCCTGCAACATCCTTGCAACATTCTGTGTGGGTGAAACAAGTATAAGCCAAGAATCCTCTGTCTTGTGTGTTATTAATACAGAGAGTGTTGTTTCTTAAATACGAATATTCTGTAGTGCATTAAAATGTGAGTTAAATGACTATGGTCCAACCTAGTTTGGTGGACAGCCCAGTGTGTTAGTAATGGACACTCAGTGAGTGACTGTCTTAGGCTGTCTGTTGGTCATCAGAACTCACTATCTCAGATGATCTTGCTGTCAGGATTCTGATGGATTCTGGTTTCCTTCAGGAGTCATAAACTGCACCTTGGGCACCATGAGGGAAGAGTTGTTCCTCCTGATGGAGTTGTTTCGCCTCATGGAGTTGTTCCGCCTCATAGAGTTGCGCTTCCTCAGAGAATTCTGGTGAGACAGTTCACTCTTCTGGAGGGTCTGAATCAGGATAGACGGCTTTTCGTCTAGCTCCCGTGCGCTGCAGCGCGGGGCGGCCACCTTCACTGTGTTGCCAAATTTGGAGTAGTCCACAGAGTACACTCCCTCCTCCTCGGTCACAATGGACACGAAACGGTGGCCCCACTGGATCTCCTCTGCGATGTAGGAGGTCCGTGCTTGTGTGGTGATCCCGGTGGTCTCCACTACCCCTTCCAGGATCACGATGACCTCCAGGTCTTGATTGGTGAGGTCAGTGGCTGAGATATCATACAGGGGGCTGCGCTTATCAATCACGTGGCAGATGATCAAAGGGGCCACCAGGAAGATGTTATTGCTCTCAATGGGGTTATCCACCGGGATGTCCAGCTGGTGAATGGGCACCACCTCCCCTTCGGGGGTCGTTGTTTTCTTGACCACCTGGATGCGCACAGAGGCGCTGATGATCATGCTTTTCCTCAGGTCACCCACGCGGAACATGAAGCAGAGTTTGCCATTGCGGACAGCGATCACAGCGTGGCGGCTGAAAATGAGAGTCTCTGCCCTCCTGTGGGCCTGAGCTGTTTTCATGAAGATGCAGCCCAGCATGACCGCATTGATGATCAGACCCACAATGTTCTGGAGAATCAGGACCGTGATGGCCAGAGGGCATTCCTCAGTCATCATCCTGCCTCCAAATCCAATGGTCACTTGAACCTCAATGGAGAAGAGAAAAGCAGAAGTGAATGACCTGTAAAGAATGACATCAGAGAACAATGCAGTGAGATCAGATTGCACAGCACAGTGACTTAAGAGCCCAGGCTGAACTCTGCATCTCCCTCCACTGAAGCCTACTAAATGCTTCTGGAAAGATCAATCAACTTTTCAGATGCCTAATTTTAAACATAAGCACTGTTCTCTCTCTCTCTCTCTCTCTCTCTCTCTCTCTCTCTCTCTCTCTCTCCCAAACACACACTTCACTGCACCTAAGTCTATGTATGTGTCTCCATACTTTCGAGATACAATTTCATTAATATTTCCTAGGTCATATACTATGTAAAGACATTTGTAAAACAAATAAATCTAAATTTT